GCCCAGGTTTGCTTTTCTAGGGCGAGGTGGTGCGAAGTAAACAGTGTCGCTCATTAGAGCGGAGCTGCCACCAGCTTCCAGGAGGAAGCCCCCCACCCTGCCGCCCACCCAGCCCTGCCAGCCGAGATGCAACAGAAGCCTGGCATATGCCACAGGCTGGAGTGCCAACGGGCTTCACTGCGCCAGCCGGCTGCGCTTGCCGTGGGAGGCACCACCTGTGGGCTACACCTGTGCCAAGCCGGGCAGAGCCGTGTGGTGCGAGGTGTGTGGTGTGTATGGTGTATGTGTCGTGTGTGGTGTGTGTTGCGTGTTGCCTCTGTGGTGTGTGCATTGCCTGCATGTGTGGTGTGTGTGTGATGTGTTTTGTCTATGTGTATGTGCTATGTGTGTGGTGTGTCTGTGTGTAGTGTGTGTATAATGCGCATTGTCTGTGTGTGAGATGTGTGTTGTATGTGTTGTATGTTCTCTCTCTGTGTTGGATGTGTAATGTGTGTCTGTGTAGTGTGTATGTAACATGTATGTAATATGTATGTAATGGTTGGGCACAGTGGCTCACACCTGTAATCCCAGCACTTTGGGAGGCCGAGGCAGGTGGATCATGAGGTCAAGAGATCGAGACCATCCTGGCCAACATGGTGAAACCCCGTCTCTACTAAAAATGGAAAAATTAGCTGAGGGTGGTGGCGCGTGTCTGTAATCTCAACTACTTGGGAGGCTGAGGCAGGAGAATCGCTTGAACCTGGGAGGCAGAGGTTGCAGTGAGCCGAGATTGTGCCACTGCACTCTAGCCTGCTGACAGAGCAAGGCTCCGTCTCAAAAAAAAAAAGTATGTGATGTGTGTGTGTGTGTGTGATATGTGTTGCATGTCTGTGTGTTTGTATGTCTGCATGTGGTGTGTTAGTGTGTGATGTGTATTGTGTGTATGGGTTATATATGTTTACGAGTGTTGTGTGGTTTGTGTGTCTGTTATGTAATGTGTGACTGTGTGACTGTGTTGTGTGTGCGTTGTCTGTGTATCGTATGTGTGATGCGTATTGTCTGTGTGTTGTGTTTGTGTGTGAAATGTGTGTTGTATGTCTGTGTGTTGTGTGATGTGTGTAGTGTGTGTTTCTATATGTTGTGTGTGGTGTATGTGTAATATTGTTGTCTGTGTGTGATGTGTGTCTGTGTGTGTATGGTGTGTGTGATGTGTGTGAGATGTGTGTTGTGTGTGTTGTGCATTGTGTGTGGCATGTGATCTTTCTGTTTTGCATTGTGTGTGTTGTGTGTCTGGGTGTGTGCAGTGTGTGTTGAATGTGTTATGGTGTGTCTGGTGTGTGGTATGTCTGTGTGTGATGTGTGTCTGCTGTGTATGGTGTGTGTTGTGCTTGTGGTGTGTGTGGTGTGTGTGTGGTATGTGTGACATGTGTGTTGTATGTGTATGTTGTACATTGTGTGTGGCATGTGGTGTTCCTGTTGTGTGTTGTGTCGTATGTCTCTCTGTGTGATGTGTATTGTCTGCGTGTGTGTGGTGCATGTGTTGAGTGTGTTGTGTGTGGTGTGGTGTGTGTCTGGTGTGTGGTATGTCTGTGTGCGTTGTGTGTTTGTGCTGTGTGTATAATGTGTGTTGTGTGGTACGTGGTGCATGCAGTGTGTTTGTGCTTTGTGTGTGGTATGCATGTTGTGTGTACTTTTATGTGTTGTGCTGTGTGTCTGTGCTGTGTATGTGCTGTGTGTGTTGTGAGTAGCATGTGGTGTGTGTGCTGTGTGTTGCGTATCACAGGAAGGCATGTGCTTTCGGGTGTGCGGAGCCCACGGCGCCCAGGCGTCCTCATCCCGAGAGCTGGTGCTGCTGGCAGGGCTTGTCCTGGGCCCTGGAAACCTGCCGCTTCCTTTCCTGGGGCTGTGCTGCCCTTTGAGGACAGAGGTGCGGCCCTGCTCCCTCCCAGTGTCCTCCGACCCCAGGGAGCCCTAGCAGTAGGGACTGGTGCTCTGCCCACTTTACAGAACGGAAAATTCGGGCCCAGAGGGTTGGACGACTGGCCAACGTCACCAGCCTCGGAGACAGCCCGTGTCTGGGAGCCGGGCTCTTGGCCTCCGGCCTGACAGTTGTGGGGAAGCGGAGAGTGTGGCTCTTCTGTGGGCTTTTCCTCCTGGCCCCTCCCGCCAAGAAGCGTGGTGCCGGGTTGCCAGGTGGCTGCCGCTCTTTCCTGGCCGTGGGGACATGGCAGGTGTAGGATGGCACGGCACGCCCGGCCTGCTGACCCTGCTGGGACCCTGGACTGTTAAGTGGAGGTCGCACCTGTACTTCCCTCGGGGGATGGCCCTGAGATGGCGTCAGAGATCATGAAGCTCTTGGCACGGCCGGCGCCCGGTGCACTGGGGGCCTCGGAATGCTCTTCCAGCGACGAGCATCTGCACGCCAGTGTGTGCTGTGGGCAAGGCTACCTCCTGCCCCCAGGGGACTGTCCCCCAGGGAGGGAGGCCGGGGAGAGGAGCTGCGTGTGCCTCACCGAGCCGGACTGGAGCACGGTGGGTGGAGGTGGAGGGAGCGGGGTGGCTTCGGAGGGGCCAGGAGTCGAGGCGTAGATCCAGCTAGGCCTGGAGTGGGGCGGGGATGTGGCTGACTGGGCCTGGCTGCAGGGCTCCGTGCTGCTGGGGACAGGGCAGGCCTGGCCTGCCCAGGAGACACCCTTTGACCAGCTGCAGCCTCTGCCCAGCGGCCTCCTCAGAGCCTTGCTGCTCCTGCCCACCCCATGCAGAGCAGCCCCGAGCCTTGTACCCCAGCAGGTGTGATTCTCCTGGGGTCAGGGAAGGGGTGCCAGCTGGTGTGGGCTGTGAGTGGTCCCCATGGCACGGACAACATTGGTAGAGGGTCCTGGACAGGTGGACCTGCCTTCGGGAGCTGACATGCATCTCCTGATTCAGAGCCGCATCTGGAAGCACCAGCTGGTGGCCAGGCCAAGGGAGCAGGAGCTCAGCTGTCCCCAGGGCGGGCGGGCAGGAGAAGGAAGGAAGCTGGCGGTGGGGGCCACGCATGGGACCTCATGATGCTCTGCTCGCTGGGTTTGCTTTTCTGTTCCCATATGTTTGCTGTCGTGATTTTGTTCCCATCACAGTCCTGCACTTCCAGGGCTGTGCTGTGTTTATGATGCAGCTTCTTCCAGGGCGTCCAGGCAGCTGCTGAGCGGCTGGGGGGCTGGGGGCTGGTTTTCCTGCTCATGGGAAAAAGGGAGCCACCAAGCCTGGCCTCTTCTGCTCGGGAGGGCCCTGCCCCTGTCCCTTTATGGGAGCAGGACTGAGAGCCCAGGACCACTGCTGATTTGGGACCCTGAAGGCCTGGCAGGGAGGTGCCGACCCCTCAGCAAAGGGGCCAGGCCTGTGAGTCACTCGGATTGCCCAGGGGCACGGAGGCTGCAGAGGGACCCCCTGACCCCACCAGGCATCTCGAGGCTCTGTGGGAATGGAAGGGGGCTGGAAGCGGAGCTGCATTCTGGGCGCCTGAGAGCTGTCCAGGCTCTGAGGCTGGTGGGGTCCCCGTGTCACCCCACGTGTCCCCTGAAGCTTCTGGTAACACCCCAGACGTGCTCCCCAGGGCGTGGCAGCCCGAGGGCCATCCTTGTCACTGTCTTGTCCCAGCAATGAGCTCATTCCCTGGTGCGAGGAGGGTTCAGCCAGGCAGGGTGGGGGTGGAGCTGGCCGCGCCTCACATGACGGGCAGGGCCTGCTTGTGCTTGGGTGGCTCCTCTCTGCTTCCCCTCCAAGACTGTGGGTGGCTCAGCCTCTGTGCCCTGGATGCCCGTGGCTGTGCCTGCTGATGACCAGCCTGTTTGGCTCGGAGCCTTCCCCGGGCCTGGGTCTATGTGGGGCTGGGCTTGGGCGGCGTCTCCAGGCGTTTGCACCGCGGTTCCCGAGGACAGGTTCCGTGGAGTGAGCCTGGAGGAGGGCCTCCATCCCTCATGCCTGCCTAGACTTGTGGGGTCTTTTGTTGCAGACCCCTCTTCTCTGGGGACACCTTAAGGGCCACTCCTGGAACAAATCTGTGTTCAGCCTGACCTCAGCTGCATACCACCCCCCGTCCCCTGCAGGGGTAGACTCACCAGCCAGGCGAGTGCAATCCCCAGAGGCAGTGGGGTGGGTTCGCAGGCTGCCAGGTCACACTGCCAGTGAGGGTGGGGCGGGAGCTGGGAGGGAACTGGGATCTGAGTCCAAGCTTCCCTTCGGGGACCACAGGGCTGTGTCCTTCCCACCATACTGCCCTGCCAGGGCCGCACCCAGGTGTGCAGGGGCCGAGGAGGCTGACGGGGGCTCCTGGCCTGAGGCAGCACCTGGCATCTCTGCCACCGTCACTGCAGGCAAAGAGTGACCTGGCTTGCACCAGGGTGAGCCCGTAAGCCAACGCCCCCTCCCCTGCCCGGCCCCATGGAACCAAGAGACAGCGGCTGATGTGCATCTGTTGGGATGTCTGGGCGGGGCTCCGTAGCTGCCGGGACCTCTGTGCCTGGGATTGAATGAAGCCTGACCCTGACCTGGGGTTTGGCCCCACCCCCGCCAACCCGAACACTGCCCAACACTGAGCCCACAGGCGCAGCCCGGCCACAGTCCCTCCCTTTGTCTCATTCTGGGCCTGGGAGGACCGGGTGGGGGCCACTGAGAGTCCCAGCAGGAGCTGAAGGCCCAGGCTCTGTCGCTGAGTGACAAGGTTATTATGCTGTCACGGGCCAGCCGGAACTCTCCCCCGCCCCACCAGGAGACAACTCATCTGGAAGTCCCCAGCTGTGGCAGCCCAGGGCCGGGCAGCCCACCGTGCCAGCCCAGTTTCAATGACCTACCTGACAGCTTCCATCGTGGGCCAGGGGACTGGCACAGGCGGGCATCTGGAGCCACGCAGTGGCCAGCCCACCCCGGGCAGGGCTGTAGGCGGGGCTGTAGGCCTGGCAGCCGCCATGTGAAGGCACGAGCCACCCCGGGTAGGGCGGGTCGGGCTGGCCTTGCACCTGCTCACCCTCGGCCCTGCGGCCATGCCAACCCTGGTTGTGGGAACGCTGCCCACCCACCTGGGGGACACGTCTCAGCCTGGCCCTGAGGACAGCCCAAGGCAGGGCCCCTTCTCCCATGGGGCCCCCGGGAGAGCAGCCAACTGGGAGGCTGGGGCCAAGCCCAGGTAGCGTCTGCGTGGACTCGGGCGGGGGCTGCACTGTGGCCAGACTCCATGGCTGCCCCAGGAGGCAGCAGCTCTGTGCAAGGTACAAGGGTATGGGGTCAGAGTGCTGCACCTGCCTCTGCGCTGCCTTTGGGCGTGAGGCCTGGTCTCTCTGAGACTCAGTTTCTCCATCTGTAAATTGGGCCAATCCCATCACCTGCCTCAGAGGGGTGTGGTCAGGGTCCGAGAGAGAACGCTGCTCCCTCCTCTCTGCCTCCAGTCTGCAGGCGCAGGGATGCCCGGGGAGGTAGGGCCGGTCCGAGCGGCTCTGCTGGGCACCTCTGCACCTGTGAGCCTGACCATCGTGTCTGCTGCTCCCTCCCAGGTTCCGTGCACCTGCAGCCAAGGATGACATGGCGGCCCTGAGGTGGCCCAGGCCCTCCTGGCAGCCGGACCCGCCCTGGGCAGCTCTCCACATGGTTGGGTCTGATGACCTCAAGGAGCCAGGCCCCCAGGGGAAGGCCCACAGCCTGCCTGTGTGGTCCGCAGGCCCGGACGCCCGGGATGGGGACAGCTCGGTGTCATCAGGCCGGCTCTCGGGCTCCTCAGGGGGCCACAAGGAGCATGTGTCCTGGAAGGAGAGGCCGCCCCAGGTGTTGCGGCCCCGGCGGCAGCCCAGAAAGAGTGACCCTCGGCTGGAGCAGCTGAGAGACAGGATCCGGGCCCAGGCGCGGTGGCAGGGGAGCTGTGCGTCCCTGGGGGCCTCAGACCCCTCCAGTCTCCACAAAGCCCTGGCGCTGGCACTTAGGAGGAAGACCCAAGAGACGACAAACCCCTCTCCAGCCTCTGAACGCTCAGGTCAGTAGCGGCTTTGCCAGAGCGGGGGAGGCCTCCAGGCCGTTGGGAGGGTGGAGAAAGGGCAGGATCAGGCTGTGGGGGTGGCCAGACGGGGGTATGCAGCCTGCCCCAGGGTGGGGTTAGGGTCCTGAAGGGGTGGGATTGGGGTCATGGAGGGGTGGGGATTGGGGGTCATGAAGGGGGGATTGGGGTCATGGAGGGGTGGGATTGGGGGTCGTGGATGGGTGGGTCTTGGGGTTCATGGAGGGGGGATTGGGGATCCTGAAGGGGTGGAATTGGGGTCCCGAAGGGGCTTCTGAGCCAGGGCCAAGATGAGGATCCCTCCCCGGAGAGGGCGGCAGGAGTGGTGGAAACACTAGGGCCTGGGAGGGAGGGGCACACAGGGAGGGCCTGCAGGGCTGAGAGAGGGGACCTGGTCCCTGGGCCTGGAGTCTGCGCCCTTGTCCCTGCAGCCTCGGGGGGCTGCATGGTCAGATTTGTGGAGACTCAGGTCAGGAGCCCCCTAAAAAGTCAGCCTCGGATTTGGAAAGTCTGGCAGCTTCCCTCCTGCAGGGATGGGGGGTTGGGAGTGGGGGGCAGGTTAGGGCCAGGGGTGGGAGTGGGGGGCAGGTTAGGGTCAGGGGTGGGAGTGGGG